TCGACTAGGGGCTGCTCTGGCAGCAGTCCCTGTCTGTGAGGGTCCCAGCTGCCTGCTGGCACCCCATGGGGACTGTTGGAGCTGGCACAAGCCGAGACTCAGCAAGCCTGGCTCAGTCCTGGCTCGTAATGGGTCCAGGAGCTAGCCTGCTATGGCTCTGCAGTTTAAATGTAAGTGCTGGGCTGCCTGCCCACCCGGCTCTTACTACATTTAAACTGCAAGGCTGCAGCAGGGGGTAACTCCCAGAAGCTTCGTCCCTTCTTGACTAATCGTGTAGTCAATAGAAAGTCTATTGACAACACGATTAGCTATTTACTTGCTTCCTAGCATCCCTAATATGGCCAGCTTTAGATATCATACTAAGTCCCTCATTTCCCAGGGATAACAGGGCTAAGAGACAGCATGCTCCTGGAGAGAGCCTATTTTGTCACTATCAAGCAACAACTTGTGGCTGACACAGTAGCACTGAAGAATTCCAAAGGATTCATTCCCAATCCTCTGGCTAAATGAATGAATCAATTCAACTTGCAGACTTATGAACAAATTTTCAAAAAGTACTCAACACCCAGAAGCTTCCATTCTTCTTAAGTCCTTGGTCAGAATAAAATAAGGAAATTCTGGTGTATATTTGTCCCCAAAACAAAAAGAACAAGTGTATCCCTGCTTTGGCCACTGTCAACAAGTTTGCACAGGAAAAATAGTCTAGAATTTGCTTAAAACCTAACTTTAGATAAGACCTGTAAAAACCTAACTTTAGATAAGATTACAAAAGTGTAAGATGCTCTCTTCTTGTTTTTACCTCATGAATTCAAGTGCTACCTCTTTTTCCTCTCTCATTTTGGCTTATGAACTTCTGCAGTGGATCAGCTGACTGTCCTATCATACACCAAAAATGCCATACACGATGGGCAAATTGCAGAATTCTATAGATTTTGTTTGTTTTTGCCTTACTAGCAGAAAATGACACTTGGTCTAGTTCTGGTGTAAAATGGAATCCTCATGTAATATATATCCCTAACTACAAACTATTATTGTAGATTTTTTTTATTTACTGGATGCTCAGTGGAGTCTGATAGTGATAGATAAGTGTTTGATTGTGATATTTACACTCAGCCTATAGTAAGGAGCAGTGCAGAAGGTCTGGGACTCAGAAGTACTGGGACACATCCTGTTTCAGGGAGGCAAAGTGCCTGTTTGAGTTCCCAGGTTATTACATCTTCTGCATATCAACTGATAGTGCAGTTCGTTACCCCATGTGAAGATGGTCAGATCTCCTGTCTGGTGCACTAAAAGGCAGAGCCACAACTCCTACAGTACAACTTGCCCCTTACACAAGCTAAGGGAGATGATTCATTTTATGTCCTCCCCATCACTGCACATCCGTGAAAGGGCCAGAGAGACTCTGGACCTAAATAATGTGTCTAAATGACTAAGAAAATGGACTAAGAATATGGAGATATAAATTATCTGAATTAAAAACAAATATAGAAAGAAACATACCTTGGAATTAAAGGTAACATACTGTGGTTTACATATATCTTCATGTGTTGAATTAAGATTTGATATAATAGGAGATGTTGCATTTGGCTCCAGTCCAGGGCAGATAATTTTAAATTTCTTATAGATAACCTAGAATAAAGTGGCACATGGCAAATTTTAAAACTGCTATTAATATAAAAACAAATATTGCAGACACTTTGGAGCAACTCTAATCCAACCAAACCAAAGCAGAACTTACCACCATTAAAAAAAAAAACATGCAACCAAGGGAAAATCCACTAGTATATCCAAGATACCCTAAAAGAAATTCAGAAGAAATTTAATCAATAACTCAAGTAATGATCACATTTGTTTATGTTTTTGTTCTTTTTATAGCCTGTTTCTTTACCACATAGTTAAACTTATTATATATTATACACATAACATGCACCATAAATTTCAAGGTAGTATAAAAATGCCTCTCATTGATCAGTAAATCTGTCATTTCAGAGGTTGATACATTTCGGACAAAGTAGAGATCTATTCTAAAACATTTGACTCATGTTTAATATTGCTTCGCTGCCTCCTTGTAGATCATCTGTATAGGCAGTTTGACTAACTGCACTCTTTAGAATTACTTTCATAATGGACGTAAACTTGATAATACGAAAATACTATCATAATATACAGCAAATCATGAAGTGCTTAACTGTTAAAAGTTACTATGGATTAGATTTTCCAAGGGATTTCAATGTTTATTTCGGTGGCATTTAGGAGCCTAACCTCCTTAGGTGTTATTGGAAATTCCACTAGATGTTGTCAGCAACTTCAGGCATCTAAATACCTTTGAAAATCTGGCCATATAGACTTGGAGGCACCTACGGTGTGTTTAGACTACAGGGTTGTTGTTTTTTCCAAAAAAAGTGGTCTTTTTAAAAAAAAAACTTCCCTTGCGTCTAGACTGCTTCCGCGTTCTTTCGAAAGTAAATCGAAAGAATGCAGCAGTTTTTTCAACCATGGAAAACCTCATTTTACGAGGAAGGAAGTGCTCTTTCAAAAAAAGGCGCTATGTAAGACTAACTGTGCTTTTTCGAAAGAAAGCATCCTGACTGCCTGGTTGCTCTCTTTCGAAAAAGCAGCTTGCTTTTTTGAAAGTACTGGTTATAGTCTAGACGCTCTTTTTTGAAAGAGACTATTCGAAAGTCTCTTTTGAAAAGGTCTCTTTTGAAAGAGGCTTGCAATCTAGATGTAGCCCTAGTGGAATATAAGTAATGTCCATATCCATATGCACACATATTACCTAGACAGAACTAATAAAAAAATTTCAGTTGAGAATTATTGAAATTTTGAATTTTGAGGATTTTTTTTTTTACAATTCTATTGCAATTAAAAATATTACTAGCTCTATGTAATATTAATTTACCTAATGGAATAAACACCCAGATGGTCATAAAAACTGTAATCATTTGCTCCAAGCAAATGGAAAAGAAACATTATTTTGAAGCAAGTTATTTATATTATGCTCATTTGTCATATTACTAGCTTTAAATTAGCCTGGCTTATTCCAGAATACCTAGCTTATTCCTGTGCTGACAAGGCCACTTTATTCATCACTGAACACTATCCTCTTCACTATTTCTGAGTGGCCAATAGGCTCCAGAAGTGAGCAAAATTTGTGTACCCCCACTTTATTCTCATGATACTTGCACTCTTACCTAAGTTTTTAAGGAGGCACAAGGGAAGGATTATAACAAATGTCACAGCTACAACAAGAATTCGACCATCCACGTACCATGCCCTGCAAAACATTTCAAAGATGCAGTGAAACCTCCTTGTAAGCATTATCATTGTTTTTTTTACATAAGATCTGCCATACATAATTACAACATTTTCTCTGGCTTTCTATGTTGTAAGCTCAAGTACAGGCAAAGTCTGGGACAGTCTCTGAATTTCCTAGGGCACTAATTACATATGATAGTAAATGGAACATTTATGAGTAATTGCTTAAAAGTGGCACTCTTTGGAATCTGAGCTATAACACAGCTTCATAGATTCAGAGGGCAAAATGTTGCCCTTGCTGATAGGAGCTGTGACGTGGGTGGAGGAATGGAGCGACAGCAGTTGGCATTAGATAGAAGTCATCCTGCCAGCTCAGGAAAAGACAAATCAAGCGTGCAGACATATAGTGCTGTACATCATATGCTGCGGCCAGCAGTGTATCCACTTAACCTGCTGAGGGCCTGGCCAAGTGCCCTAGCAGATAAACCATGCTGTAGAGGACTGGGATGCACTGGCCAGCCCAGTCACGTGACCTATCCTTTAAGCTGTGGCCAGAATCGTCTCTTGGTGGTCTGCAGGGAAAGGAGAGAAAAGGATGACTGGCCTCTACAACGTATTTTAAAGTGCTCTGTCCGGTCTTGAATGAAGTATCTCCAGAGTGGCGTTTCCATCTTTTAGCTAAGTTACAAGACATCATATATCCTGTTGTAACAAACAAGACACGTACGAATGTAAAGAAATACCCTTATTTTTGTTTAAGATGGTAGCAGATACCATCAAGTAGTAACAAGTGGCAGAAATCTATCCTAGGTATTCCACTCCTGTTATGATTCAGTATTGGGGAACTTTGCCCTGTATGGATAGTTCTTTACATACTGAATCCAACAAGGTGATCAGAACTCCTACAGGTGCAGAGTGTCTTCAATGCCCACTGGTTACAATAGGTGTTGAAGGTGTTTAATAGCCCCAGGTATTGCTCAACACTTTGTGGGATCAGACTATAAGATAAGAATATGGTAGAAATCATTCTTCGGAAGAAAAATCTAGGTAGTAATCACTAAAGGCTCATTTATTTTTCTTTTCTCTTCCCCACCTACACTTTATAATCCTATTAGGGGCTCTGCAATGAAGATCTGACACTGGCATAAGAAACAGCCAAAAATTAGTGCTTTTACAAATCCTGCTCTGGCTTATCTACGTGACGTTTAGACTCTGAAGTCAAGTGAGCAAAACAGAATTACACTTACGAAAATGCTTCTTCTTTTCCCATAAGAAACTTTATGGCAGAGGGCAGTTCATTTTTTACTATGAAGAGATAGCTCAGCATTGCTGGAGAAAAATGAGACCATTTTAGAAATCAGACATATCTTATGGAATGAACATACAGAAGGAAGTTGGATCTGTTCTCATGTGAACTCTATGGAATTACAAACTGATCTAAGGCACAGAAGTTTAATGGATTTTAAACTGCTGATCCCAGTTGGGTTTCCTGATATGTCATTTCAACAGGCTACAAGGATAATACTAGTCTGCAGTGTATGACAGAACACAAGGGCCTCCAACCAATGTTCCCTCTAACTTTTTCCATCTATGAGCAGAATAAATTTTATGTGCACCAAGGCATGTGCAGATGTGCACCACGAATTGTTACACATGATGCCGGTTATAGGAGGCTGTGGGCACTCTTCTAATCAGCTGGGCGGCACATGAATCTCTCCTGGCGCTCAGCTTATAGGGAACAGAGCCCCCAAACATTACTAGGAGAATAAGAAATCTGAGTAGCTGATAGGCATAAATGTATGTGCACATAAAATTTGCTCCTTTGTTTGCTCTTGTTTTTTATATTTCCTTTACCTCCAGTATTCTGGAGAGAAGTGGATCCAAAAACAATCATTTTTCCTGGGGTGCCAAAGACCTGCTCTCCCAGCTTTTCATACACCATGCAGCCTGTGTAAAACCAATTGGAGAAGAAATCAGAAATTGGGGATGACAAGCAACTGTCAAGTTAAAACATTTAAGAATCCTCTTCATTCAGCTATTTTTTTCCCATCCATGTTGCTTTTTCTTCCCTTTTCACACAAATACTGTAACTCACAAGAGTTGAGCAAACATATTTGGAAATGTCCTTCTCATGTTTTAAATGCCAGGAAAAGCTACCGATTACTTCTTAAAAGTTGGAACTCACATTGAAACTATTATATCCCTTTAATATAAGTATCTGCCTACAGTTCTCACAACATTTTCAAAGCTGGTATCCTGATATCTTAAGTTTGTTCTGTCTGTAGGAATAATATAAGAGTTAACTGAAGATAATATGCAACACAAAAGGAATCTGCAAGCCAAGTCACTGGCAGACAAGCTAGAGACACAGCACCGCAGTGCTGTAATTCTATACAGTTTGACTACCTGACATGGATTAATGCAGAGAGTCCAGACTGTTCATTTAAATTATTATTTCTATAGTCTTATATATTAATTTATGAGTTATCATTTTCCTATGCTTCCAATGAAAGCAGAAGTATGAGAACTATAATTAAATATTCTTGGTTTAAAGCCTGTCAAACTCAACTAGGAGCTAGACCCTCTATTAATTTACAAGATGTTCCAGTTAAATTTAGCAATTTTTTTCCAGTTGTAGCTTGGGCTGGCAGAAAAGGCACAACATTAAGAACTCAAGAGAGTGTACAATAAGAATAAAAAATAAATGTTTTAGGTGTTATACTGCACACATTGTCCGAAAGAGCTGTCTCACAGTTTGGGTTTCTTGCATATTCTTTTAGTTGACATTTTCTCTTTAAAACACCCATGAACAAGAAGCAAAATTCAGTTTGAGTTTTAATGCAATTTCATCCCTAGCAGCCTAAAAACCCAGGACACAAATTGCTAGTGTTTCAAGGACAACCGTGTGCGCATCTGCATACCTAATTTCAATATGCAATTGCTGTCACTGTACACAAGGTCATGATAACTGTATTTACAAATTAGGTGTTCAAACGTGGAAGCATTTTTGAAAGTTTGGACTAAAATGTTGTATCCTCAAGACACTATTCGTAGACTATGGAACAATAAAGGGTTTAATATTATAATAGTACCCTCTTATTTATATATTTAGAGTTACATACTATGAGAGCCTAAGGGCAGAGGCTATGTCTACACTACACTGTTCTTCTGGAAAAAGCTACGCAAATTGCAATCTGCAATTTGTGTAGCTTCTTCCGCTTCTTTTTTTGGAAGTGGTTTTTCTGACATTTGGCCCGTCTACACTGGGCCAAATGTTGGAAAAAAAACCATTTTAGGAACATCCCTTCTTCCTCATAAAATGAGGATTATAGGGATGCTGAAAAAGCGCATCTGTTCTTCCAAAAAAAAAAAAAAAACTCGGAAAAGCAGACGCGCTCACTGGATGCGGCAGAGTTTTTCCGGGATACCTCTGGTATCCTGGGAAAACTCTTGTAGTGTAGACATAGCCAGATAGTGACTTCTTCCCAATATGGAAAGTACCCATTATTATACCATGGGTACTATAGGGAACAATATCAACTCTAACTGAATGTCGTCATCTTATTTCTGGATAAACTTCACTATACAGAGTTTCGTTATAACACGAATTGCATTCTGGAGATTGTAAAGCAATGAAACAGTCTTTCCTTCTACTTCACTAAATGGAGTTTCATGGTATCAGAATTCACTGTGAATTGGTTTGACTATATTTTTTCTTTATAGCAATGGGCCACAGTTAGTCTCAGTTATACCAGTATAAATCTATAGTAACTCTGATGACTTCTTTTTTCTTCTTCAAACAGATGAGAAAAAATAGGTGTCTTGCTTTATTCTGAACATCTTTGACTTCTTGTCCTTTTCTCTTATGCTAAATTGATACATTATCATCTCAAATTACCTGTTGCCTTTGCACATACCAACAGGAGATTTATTGAATAAATAGACAGCAATGTCACTGAAATCAGTAGAAACCTACAAAAGAATGAAAAATAAAATGTATTATAATAAAAGAATTCTTAGTGTTGTACATATTAGAAGAGATTCTCATTTACACTAAGCCACCTTCATAGTGTTCTAAAGTGAGTGTAAATATAATTGACACGCTTTATGGCTTCTTTATATTGCTGTAGTATAAAAAGAGGACCTACGATAAATGAGACTCTGGCCCATTATGTCTTATAGAGAAGGCCTGCAGTGATCAACTTATGGTGCTCAAAGCTTACAGCCTCTTAAATTAGCAACCCCCTTCCACTTTCAATCTAAACCAAAATAAAAATGTCCTACTATCTAAGCAAGAAAATCTAGTCAGAGCAGCTGTGAGCTATATGCTCCTTACTACTTAGTCTAGTGATGTTTCTAAAATCTGAGTAAAGAGTCAGAGATAGTGTTTATCTAAGCCTTAGGATATGAGGGCCACATCGTAATATTCTTTCCCAAGCCAAGTTCCACTATATATTAATATCTCCCGATATTGTTGTGCCTGACTCCTTCAAGTGTCCTGCTAGCCTACTGTAAAGGATGCAGAGTGGGCTTCTCAAATTTATGAGCCATTCTAGCTCTGCTCTGGCTTGGGAGGAGATGTGATACTTTGCTTGAGTAGCTTTCCTATCAGAACCTGCCTTACGCTGTATGCTCCCCAGATTGGTGGTCTCTGAGTCACAATGTTGAGCAGGGGAGACAGCAGACACCTCTGAGGCTCTGTCCTTACACTGAGAGAAGCAGATGCAGAAGTATTAGCTGCATCCTCCATTATTGGTTGGTATTTCCTGCAGTGGGGCATTCACCATTTGACCCCTGCACTGTAATCAATGGTTTGCAGAAAAGTTCAGGAATTAAAATGGTAATAAATGCTCTGTCAATATTTTCAAGGGGCTGAGCAGCATGCTTGATAACGAGGCAGCACCAAGGGCCAAGTGCACAACACAACCTTTGCTCAATGATCCATCTCCTGTAGATCAGGGCAGAATTCAAGCACAGTGTTTTCCTTCTCTCTGTGTACAGTTGCATGGTGATTGACAACACAGGAGTATTAAAACAATCTTGTTGGCACTTTTTTCATTTCTATCATGACAATACTATGATAAGACACCATGTAAACAAATCAATTAAACAGAAAACAAGTTGCTACGATAGATGGGCAGTTTAAAATGACAAAAACAAGTCTTTTCACTGAACGGAACATGCAGGAATGACACTGTGAGAATGTTTTCTGTTTGAGACTATATGTATTTTGGGATCAAATTATAGCTGCTTTTGCCATGAGTGCATGTCTGGTAGGGAGGGTGGATACTGGTAAGGGCACAAGTATACTGGTAAGGGCACAAGTAGACTGATTCTTCTTGGTGTAACTATATAGGCCATGCCAAAATGATGCAGACAGCATTACTTGATCATACAGGGTCATCAAACAACAGCGGGTGATGGCATTGCACTTCCCAAAGGACTCATCTACCTTGCCTTATACTGTACATTATAATGCCTGGAAGGCAGTGCTGGGGGAGCCCACACTGTACCTATTCATAAGATACAGTAGCTGCTGCTGCTGAACATGCTTCCACCGGAAACATTATGTGCATTTTTGCAGTATGTGGACATGTCTCCAGCCTTTATGCTTGGCTGCTGAAGCAAACTAACTGAGCCTTAATTTGCAGACACCAAGCAAAGGTGTCTTCATTGAGATAAAAATAACAGTTGCAAGACAGCCAGGTTACATTTTGATCTGTTTCCTTTCCTCCCTGTGGGAGTCTCACTAGCTGCTATGAGAAACATGTCCTTTTTCATTAAAGACATATGAAAAGCCTGTTTGTGAGAGGTCTGTCTGTGGTTTAGACAGACTAGCGCCAGTATTATCCCATAGAATTAAAATGTGAGTGCCCCGAGCTCTGTGCACACTCAAAACACAGGCAGTGAAGTTTAGGCAACTCTAGTATCAAAATTGTTCTCATGCTTCACATTTTGTCCACTTTAAAAAAGTACTGGCAACCACATAAGAAATGTAAGCAAAATTCTCATCCTCAGTCAAAGCCAAATGGATAGCTATGGGCAGAAGACCAACACAAGGCTAGGGGGAACAGAACCCTACCTCCTACACGAGGCAGCTATGCTCATCCTTCACTCATCAGCTCTAGCAGCTACTGTGGCCCCATTGCACTGGTCTTTCCCTGGGAATCAGGACACAACTCATCTCAATCACTGCCAGAGGCTGTAGAACCCTCCCCTTAAGGCCTCTCTGGGGCCTAGCTCATCTGCAGCCTTCCAAATATTTCTCCCTCATTGCTGGTATGAAAAATCTTTCTATGCCATAGCTCATAGAGTATGTCTACACTACAGCGCTATTTTGAATTAATTAACCGTTTCAAATTAAGTTAATTTGAAATAACGCATCCATACACAAAAACTATTTCGAAATAGCGTTTTGCTATTTCGAATTAGCACGTCCACACTGAGTGGACCCTGAACCGAAGTTAAGGCAGGCTGGAACCAGTGCCGGCAGGGCATCAGGTTAGGACTTAGTGTGTGGGGCCCTGCAGGAGAGCGTCCACCCCAAGGAGCCCTCAGAGCCTCCCCAGTCCTCCCCACCGGGGGCTCGTGCCCCATTCCTCCCTCATGTCCTTCCACTTATCCCTCCCTAGCCCCCCTTCCTGGTGTCAAATAAAAGGCACATATGTTCAAAAATAGAAACTGGGTTTATTGAACAAAACTGGGGCGGAGGGGGGGGGGGGGGGGGAAC